GTGTTGGACGCATAGCAAGTTCTGCTTCTGAGTTAACCTCTTTTATCTTCTGAACAGAAATCAGAATCCATCATTTTAATAATGCTTGATCCTAGAGCTTTTTCTTCTCTTGGCAGAAGAGAATGTTTAGCATTTGGTAACCCAGCAGTGAACTAAGTATCACACTAACCAGTATTGACACAAAAACCATATGGTCTTATATTACATACGGGTCCAGTGTTATCCGTAGTAATTATCTATCCCCTAAAAGAGAAAATAATTGTGCCATTCCAGAAGGCATGCTATTTTTCTAAAAAAAATAAGAATTCTAACAAAAATAAACTAAGCTAGCTGAAACAAGCTTTTGAATAGATATAGCTCGGTGTTTTCAGACAGGATTCGAGATTACGGGACAGTGGTTTAATCGTATTCCTCTCAAAGACAAAATGCTCAAAAAGCGCTTACAGTTAATGCCCATTTAAAGCACACATGTCTGATGCATATTAAGCTATTCAAGCAATGAAATCCTGGGCATATGGGAGGAGAATGCTAAAAATGTTTTGATTTTTTTGAAGTTATTGTTTTGGCTAGACAATACATCTTGAAAATGAAACAGTGGAGTCACAATTACCGTCCTCTGCACTCTTCCAGGATGTGCATGGAAGGGAGAAATGTCAGCTCACATAGCTATACTTTATTTTGCTTTATGTCTTTTTCATGTTGTCATACTAACTAAAACTACTTTTAATTAACATTCTTTGTAAAGATGGAGTCTGGTATCAGTAATGGATTGGATGATGGTGAACAAGCTGAAACAATCTGGACAAGTGAGAGGTGTTCTTGGTCTGTCAGAAGACAGATCAGGGAACAGGGATTCAGCCTGTACTGGATTGGGTCATGTTCCCTCTGTAAAGCTAGACTCCTAGCTTAAGTGTGCTCTTGACTCAGCTCAGAGGGAGAAAGATGGTTTATAAATGGCATCAATCCATTCATCTGCCAGTTGTGTTTTGCCTCTGGCAGCAGAGGCTGAAGTATGAATTGTTTCTTACATACCGTATTTTTTGCTCTATAAGACGCACTCCCCTCCAGAAAAAAGTGTGGGGGGAAGTGTTTGCATCTTATGGAGCGAATACTGTAAAACAACGCTCCCCAGGGCCCAGCGGGGGGATGGTGGGGGCAGCCTCGGAAGGGCCCGAGAGTGCCTTCCAGGAACCATTGGGGGCTCCACCCACCCACCCCCGCAAGGCTAGTGGGGGTGAAATCGTGACCTTCCAGGACCCTTCTGAGGCTTGGAAAACCTCAGAAGGGTCCTGGAAGCTGGCAATTTCATTCCCGCAAGCCCAGCGGGCCAAAATTGCCAGAATATTTTTCCTGTTTTCCTCCCCTCAAAATGAGGTACGTCTTATGGAGAAGTGTGTTTTATGGAGTGAAAAATACGGTAAATGTTTTTAGGACTAGAGTCTAACTAGTGAAGAGAGTATGGAGAAGGGAGGCAGCATGCCCCATCAGTTCCTCCTAAAGTGTTACATACTTTTAAAGAAGGAAGAGTGTAACTACATTGCAGTTTACCTCATGGGTTTGTGTTGGAGTTGGCATGATTAAAATTGAAGTGTTTACCTGTGGCCACAGGATATAAGGCTAAGTGTGGAAAAGCCCAATCTTTCTTCAAGGACATTGATTTCTTTTTGTTTAGCTGTTGGGGTGGTTTAAATACAAGGAGATGCCAATTCAACTGGCATCACTTTTTCCCTATTTTCTGTTGTGTGCTACCCATTTTGGTCCAAAAGAACAGTTATGAGCACATCCCATGGTGACAATGACATCTTCGGTAGAGCAATTCTTCTTCGTGGTATCTGTGAATCACACTCTGGGTGATCTGCGCCTGCGCGGAGCCTCATTGGAAAGCTCTAGAGCTTCTGCGGTAGCAAAAAACACATTAGAATAAGGCCCTTGCCCCCTCGTATAAGTACCTTGGCGCCAAGGCTCCCCTTTCAGTTTCTTTCAACCACCATGTTGAGAGCCTCATAGTTCTGCTTCTGTGAGTAAAAGAGAAAGAGAGTTCATTCTTGATTCCTTCCTGTTATCAATTTTTTTCCTTTGAACTTTTAGATCATATTCATTATCATCAGAGATTTTTTCGTTTCTGCTTCGCTCGGCCTCCGGTCGCAGCAGCACCTTCCCCATCATCGTTTTTTCTCCTCAAATTATTTTCTCCTATTCATGGCCCCTTTGGGCCCTGTTAAACACTGTGTGGTCTCTGATAACAAACTACCACTCTCCAACGGCCACGGCAAATGTCTTTTTTGCTTGGGAGAGGCATACCAGACTTCCTCCTGCCAGCATTGTAAGAACTTCAAGCGCGGAGTTCTCCATTCTTGCTTATCCAGATTAAAACTCCGTCTTTGGGAACAATCCCTTCAACCAACCAAAATGGCCCAACCTCCTTGTAAGGCCACCTTACAAACCAAAGCAGAAGACTCCTTCTGAAGCTTCAAATCAACATCCATTGACCACACCATCCCACTCTGACACTCCATCCACTTCATCTAAAACTTCAAAAACCCATAAATTGAAGCACTTGATGCCGAAATCCTTGATATCGAAGCCCTCTGCTAATCGTCAAATGTCCATTGAAGCCTCTTCAGTTCCAAAGCCTTCTCCGCCTAAAAGACCTAAACAGCATAAATCTAAAGCTGCAGTCATCTCTCAGCAGCCTCAACAAACCGCCAAATCAATCTCTATTGGTTCACCTTCAGACAATGACAGAATCCCCTCTCATCAACCCTGCTCCCAATCACCAGAATGGGATGACGGAGCCGATTGATTAACATCTTCTCCTTCCAGTCCTCAACACTCTGTTCTTTTGAGCAACCCTTCCGTAGTTGCTTCACTTGACAGGGTCGATTCCAAACTACCTACAAAGATTATTCACTATATGGGCACATGCATAGATTCCATACAAGCTCATGCCTTTCTTTCTCTAGACAAGAGAGAAAATCTCATCACATTACTTCACGTTTTCACCCCTCATGCTATGGTACCCGCCTTGACTGTGCAACATGTACTAGGCACCATGGCCTCTGTGACTTCAGTAGTGCAGCACGTACGTCTCAAGATGAGATCTCTTCATTCGTGGTTTCTCACCCTCTTTGACTTGACAGACCCTCCTCGCACTCTTTTAAGGGTCACCCCAGAACTCATCTTCCAACTTCAGTGGTGGCGTTTCCCTCCCAACCTATCCATCGGGGGGCCATTCCGACGACCACGACCACAAATACAGGTCACCACCAATGCCAGCCTCACAGGCTGGGGAGCTCACTGTAAAGCTCTCAAAATCCAGGCCAAGTGGTCTTCCAGAGAGAAATTGCTTCACATCAACAAATTAGAGCTGTTGGCGGTTATAAAAGCTTGGAAAGCTTTCAGAAATCTTCTCGCTAGCAAGATGGTACAAATTGCCACTGACAGCACCATGACGATGTACTATATTCTGAAACAAGGTGGCACCCACTCTCCAAGTCTCCTCTATTTAGCGGTCGACCTCTGAGAGTGGTGCCTAGCACATCATATCTGCCTCACGGCTTTACACATTGCCAGCCATGACAACGACTTGGCCAATCTATCCAGCCACACAAACTCTCAAGCTTCCGACTGGGACTTAGACCAATCAGTTTTTCTTCGCCTATGTGAACAGTGGAGCAAACCAACTCTCGATCTCTTCGCCTCCCATGTGAATCGGAAGTGCAAACGCTACTGCTCCTGAACCAGCATTGGCAAACACTCCCAAGGAGATGCATTCATTGCCCGATGGCCCAAGACCCTCACTTATCTTTTTCCACTGTTCCACTTCTCCACAAGGTTGTGGTTTGCCTACAACAAGACAAACCCAATGCCATCGTTATAGCCCCTTGTTGGCCAAGAAAACCCTGGTTTCCAGTCCTTCACAATCTCTCATTAGATATTCACCACCTCCCTGAGTGGACCTCTGTGATTCACACTCTGGTTGATCCGCACCTGTGCGGAGCGTCATCTGAAAGTTCTAGAGCTTCTGTGGTAGCAAAAAACACATTTGAATAAGGCCCTCCCCCCTCGTGTAAGTAACTTGGTGCCAGGGCTCCCCTTTCAGTTGTGTCAACCACTGCTACATTAAGCAGAATGTCATGACAGTGCAGAGGATGGGTGGGATGTGTGAATCACAGAAGTCCACTCAAAGAACTACAATTACAGGTAGGTAACCTGTCGTTTTATAGCAAGATAATTCCCCTCAACAAAGTGTCTGTTGTTTCCCTTCCTCTGATCAAGTTTTCTGTTCACTTATTTTATTTTATTTTTTTAAGGAAGAGAATGCTCCATTGCTCTGTCATAGTGGAATCCTCTCGCAGCGGCCAGTCTGATCGTTTGACTTTATAGTTTTTATACTTTGCCAAGAGTATGTGTGTGAGGGAGGGGTAGCAGCTATGTATACAGTATCTTTGGTGCTATGCAATATTTCATCAGCAGTACAAATACAGAAAGATGTTGTGTAAGTGTGCAGTCAGAAGTTTAAGCATGGGAGCATAGTGGGAACTCTAGGTTTGTGGGTGTGATCAGTCTGCTGCAGATTTTACTCTCAGCTTTACAGGAGCCATCCAAAGTGCTATTTTGGGGATAGGTTTCAGAACTTCAATCACACATGTAAAGTTCAGACTAAAACCCCAAGTGGATTCAGTACTGCACTGAACCTGGGCTTCCCAGCCACTCTTGCATGCTAGTTACTGGTGTGGAACTTGCTTTGAAGAATATTTTTCCTCCAGTACTTCTTGGAAACATCTCTGAGAACTTATTAACTGAAAGGTAAGACATATATACAGTAAATAAATAATTGCAAGATCAAATTAAGTTACTAGCATACAATGTGTGGATGATAATTAAGTAAACATTTGGAAATGAGAGAAACATGCTCAAGAGATAACATTTTTGTTGTCATCTAGTGTCTGAAGAGGTTTTTATTTATTTTTTTAAAAAAGTATTTCCTGTTTCAATAGGTCCAGGCACAAGTTCGGCAATCAAAACTGAGTTTTGACAAATTGAAAACAGATGTGTGTCAGAAAGTGGATCTTCTTGGAGCGAGCAGATGTAATCTTCTATCTCATATACTAACAACATACCAGGTATCCAAAAAGAAATTGTCCACATAAATGCATGGACTTTAGCAATGCAATAAGGGGTTCCTAGCTGTATGTCTAAACCACCTTCCTCCTACTGTAGTATGTGCAGGGAATATTAAGTATCAGTTAGCACATCAGTGTCATGCTCGGTCCTTTCTTTCCATTGCAGACAACACTTCTTCATTTTTGGGAAAAAACATCTCGTACTATGGCAGCTATCCATGAAAGTTTCAAGGGCTATCAGCCATACAACTTCATAATGTTGAAGGTAAGAAACATTTCTCTTCAGGTACTTTGATCTAACTTTTCAGAGTTATTTGGGTAAAAGAAAAGGGCTTCCAAATATCCTTAACAACAGTGTTTTGAGTGTCCATGATAAACAACTACAGCTGTTACCTATTTTTGTAAATTCTACCTTGTCAGGCATTGGTTGATTGGAAAAACTCATTTTTAACAGATTAAAAATTATTTTGTCTCCAGATTAGTGTACAATATTAAAATGGGTGGCGAAATCCCAAGAAAGGTGATGATTTCACAGGATAACATGGGAAATACCCATATGAACTGGGCTATCCGCGCATGATACCCAATCAAATGTTGCTGAAACAGCGTAAGAATGTGTCTTATTGTGGAATGTGTCTTTTCAGAGGCACTGCGCCACAAAGATCACACATGATTTTGCCAGATTTCTTATTTCCAATACAATTAAAATCTATGAAGAACTACCCTACATAGAAAAGGTGACTAATACAGGAAGCAAATAAAAAAGAAATAAAGCTGCAGCATTTTTATAAATCAGGTCTTCAAAAGGTAGAATCATCATTGTCATGGTTGAAACTTACCTAGGTCTTACTAAACTTGCATATTTAATTTTTGTGTATCCTGATACAGTTGTCCCATTCATGTTATCTCTTAGTATTCATTAACTATGAAGTGTGTCCACTCTAAGGGATGAACTAGTTTGTTCATTTAGAGTGAAGTTTAGTCGTGTCCAACTCTTCGTGACCCCATGGACCAGAGCATGCCAGGCCCTCCTATCTTCCACTGCTTCCCGTAGTTGTGTCAATTTCATGTTCGTTACTTTGCAGACACTGTCCAGCCATCTCATCCTCTGTTGTCCCCTTCTCCTCTTGCCGTCACACTTTCCTAACATCAAGGTCTTTTCCAAGGAGTCTTCTCTTGAGATGGCCAAAGTACTGGAGCCTCAGCTTCAGGATCTGTCCTTCCAGTGAGCCCTCAGGGTTGATTTCCTTTAGAATTGATAGGTTTGTTCTCCTTGCGGTCTAGGGGACTCTCAAGAGTCTCCTCCAGCACCACAATTCAAAGGCATCAATTCTTCGGCGGTCTGCTTTCTTTATGGTCCAGCTCTCACTTCCATACATCACGACAGGAAAAACCATAGCTTTGACTATTCGGACTTTTGTTGGCAAGGTGATGTCTCTGCTTTTTAAGATGCTGTCGAGGTTTGTCATCACTTTCCTCCCAAGAAGCAGGCGTCTTTTAATTTCGTGGCTGCTGTCACCATCTGCAGTGATCATGGAGCCCAAGAAAGTAAAATCTGTCACTGCCTCCATATCTTCCCCTTCAATTTCCCAGGAGGTGATGGGACCAGTGGCCATGATCTTAGTTTTTTTTGATGTTGAGTTTCAGGCCATTTTTTGCACTCTCCTCTTTCACCCTCATGAAGAGGATCTTTAATTCCTCCTCACTTTCTGCCATCAGAGTGATATCATCTGCATATCTGAGGTTGTTGATATTTCTTCCGGCAATCTTAATTCCAGCCTGGAATTCCTCCAGTCCAGCCTTCCGCATGATGAACTAGAATTGATGCTAAATGTATAATTATATAACTCTCTTTGTTCAAAGAAAATCAATAGCAAGTGTTTATATGTGGGTTTTTTAAAGGAATTCAGGACACAGGAAGAACAGGTTCTGCCTTTCTTCTGGAGCTTCAGTTCTAATGCAATCTTGAGACTGAGTGTCATGTTTCAGACATAAAGGGGAACTCTGACTTAATATAAGCAAAAATGAAGTGCTGGAACTAGGGTGTAAAAATATGGTAAGGGAAGCATGCTCAGACCCAGCATTTCTTCCTGGCTTTAAAATCATGGGTTGTGAACTCTGGAAAGATCATTTGAAGTTGCCCATGCACTTAAATCCTTTTAAAAAAGAAACAGAGGCAAAAAGGTGGACCTGGAGGCTTCAAGCTCAGGTACAGCAATAGCAAAGGAAACAGCTGCTCGAGTTTCCCTTTATTTCTCCATCCATAATTGTACTTACATTGGCCCAAGTTAATTCTAGAAAGTGTATGGAACCTACTCCTTAAAACCTACTCTTTAAAGAACTGGCTTAACTAAAGGCTCAACATCTAATGTAAATGCGCATTGCTAAGGTTGTATTCAAGTGTAGAATTCCACTGTATTCAACACTATACAGTGGGGTCTTGACTTGAGAACTTAATCTGTATTGTAAGTCTGTAAGTCAAGTCTCCAGAAAAAAACCAAAATGGAACAAAAACGGCCTGTTACAGGATTAATCGGTTTTCAATGCACTGTAGGTCAATGGAGACTTGACCTACAGACTTTTTGACTTGAGAACCGCCTTCCAATACGGATTAAGTTCTCAAGTCAAGACCCCACTGTAACATGTATTGTGATGTGAACTTTCCTAGGCTGCAAGAGCACAACTGACTCAGGGACCAAATCCTAAAATGTTTTGGTGCAGTGATGGCAATTCAACCTCTAGAGTCAGTGGCTGTTGTTACATAACAGCACTGATGTTACCTGTCTGTCATGGGTTTGGAGGGAAAGTTCCATCCTATGGAGAGTGGAAGGCGGGACATCAGGAGGAGGGGCTGTACTGTATAAATATGTGATGCCTGTGTGGTGAGGGGACACACATACTGAGAGACACTGGGTTGTGACGAAGCAGCAGCTGGGAAGAAGAAGCTGTTGTGGGAGTCTGTGTGTCAGACAGGGTACTACTGTGTGTCAGAGTACCAACCTGATAGGTTCAGGTGTCTGTTGGTTAGCCAGAACTGATAGGTTCAGGGTCTGTGCTTTAAGTTAAGGGTTCTGTGTGAACCAAAATGTATGCTTGTATGAGTGACCCACTGTAACATGTATTGTGATGTGAACTTTCCTAGGCTGCAAGAGCACAACTGACTCAGGGACCAAATCCTAAAATGTTTTGGTGCAGTGATGGCAATTCAACCTCTAGAGTCAGTGGCTGTATCTTATGTAATGCTACTAGACCACAATTTTATTTATCTTTTTTTATTTATATAAGGTTGTTCAATACCATTGTTTTCTTGGAGTGGGGAGGGGTTACAGCTTAAATTGATAAAAGCAATATTTTAAAATTACAGTTTGAGGCATAAATAATTCCAGGGAGAATAATAACAGGTAGTTTAAAATACATAACATAGATAGTGCCTCAGGATATTTTAAAAAGGGTATTTGAAAATGTCTGGGAGAATGAAAATTTATATGGTGCAGAAGTGAGAATGGCGCCCTGTGAGCATTTCAGGAGAAAGCCCTCTGCCTAGTAGTCATCCATTTCATTTCACTTGGGTGAGTCTCCTAGAACAGAGTCTTTGAGTAGGCTCTTAGCATTTAGCTAGGGTGTGATAAGAGAGAAAGCATTCTTTCAAGTATCCACATCTCAGGGTGTTCAGAGTTTGAGGGGTTAAAAAATCAGACTTTGCATTGAGTCTGCAAATGGACTCCAAGCCAGCACAGGGGATTAAGTACTGAGGTGATAGAATCACACGTTGGAGCTCATGAGGCAATATGTCTGTGTCCACATGCCAGAGTGCCTGTTTTGCTTTTGCAGTTGCCATAATCTCTGTGGCAGCTAACACAGATTGATAGGACTGTTTGCAAATTTTCTGTTCTGTTTCCACTGATGTTGTTATTAAGGACATTTTATTTGCTTTTCTCTTCCACTTTAGGAATTTTCTTTCTGATCAGATTAAAATATTTTCTATCCTTGTGAGGTGTTTGTTTTTATGCAGTTTTGATAAGTCACAGCATGGAAAGATTTTCAGCATCCCCTATTACTGACTTTGCTTTTTTTTTTTCCCCTTGTATGCGTTAATGGGTAACCCAGAGCCTACAAGAACCTGAAAGTAAACTAGTGGAAAGTGAAGAGAAAGAGGAAGAACTGCAGCTAGAGAACACCAAATCAGAAGATGATCAGCAGAGTCAGTAAGTCATACGGTACACTTGTATTGGCTGACTTTGCCTTTTAGATTCAATTTAACTTTGTAATTGAGAAAAAATTATTTCTCACTGCAATAAATGCAGTGAGCAAGTAAGGTAGTAATTATGTGTCAGATTTGAGTCAGTGGTTTCAAGCTTCTCTGCCTACAAGAGGTCCTATCCCTACTCCAAGTAATTGTTTAGCTCATATGAATTGCTGCTAAGGAAACTAATGGGCAAAGCTCTATCTGGGGATCATAGATTTGTAATCCCAAAGTGCAATAAAATCCTAGACAGATTCAACTTCAGTACATCAAGGAACTAAAAGTTTTTGTGAGCTTGTTTTTTGTTTGTTTGTTTTTGGTATTTTGATTGGATCAAGAAATCTCAGCCTATTTTAATTTTTGTATTTTATTCTTTTTTTTCCTTAAGAGAAGAATATATTTGAAAATTGGAGTGCCTTTTGCTCCTTAAAGGAAGAGCAGGCTTTAAATGGAACTTAACACTTTCACATATCTGAGTGAGGAACCCCAGAAAAAACATAAGGAACAAACAATGGCCTTTTCTTCTGTTGTGATTCTTACCAGTGGTTCAAGATTTTTACTTCCATATGGGTTTTGGCAATATTGCCAAAATCCTGTTCAGGATTTTGCCAGACAAGGCTGCTTATTACTACACACTGCACAGTTAAAAAAAAATACTGCATTGTTGTAGTGTAATTCATGGCACTAAAATTATGCACTTTAGTTAAGGAAGGGAATGATAACCTGGCAGTTACAGTAGCCTTTACTGATATTTTCATCAGCGAAACAAGGTTTTCATATGATCTTTGGCAGTATTGAAATTTAGCACTAATCCACTTTAACACTAAACGACTACCATTAAAAAAACACTGCATCATTGCAGTGTCACATGGGAAGGAATAGGTCTGTTAGCCAGAAGGAGGGAGCAGGCTGAAGAGTCCAGTGTGAATGACAGGTGGCGAAAGGTCATAAACAGCATCTGATACCACATTTTAATGTGGATATGACAAGGACAATCATTTTGCTGGAGCTGGGGATGGAGAGGAGAAAGGAGCAAAGCAGTACAGAGCAGTGTGCAGTAATAAACAGCCGTGTCTGGAAAAGTCCTGAACTGTATGTATTTTTCCACAGATGGCTCTTGGCGTAGAGAAAGCATTACATTGCACAGGAAATTACATTACACTATGTGCATTGCTATACTTGGGTTAGAACTGAATGTTTGCCCACTTTTGCTTCTCTTCACTGGTATTTTGTGGAACAGTGAAGCAGGAAGCATCATGTATACATCCTATGGGAGAACTAAGCGCATTTCACTCCAGGCTTTGTCTACCTTGGCATTCCACACAGCACAAAGAGCTGGAACTGGTCCATTGCTCACTTTGAGTACAGATTAAGTTTTGTAATCTATACAGTGTTCGGGAAGTGATCCAGTCCAGCAGTAAGTAATCTGTAAAAGTATATCCTGAGAATGGAGCTCAGTGGGAGTTTAGTCACTTGTGTTAAGAGAACTATATAGATAGGCTGTATTTTTATCTTTGGTAGTTCGGCTGATCACTACACAAGGAGAAAACAAGCAAGACAGGCAAGCCGCCTTCTGTGGAAATACCAAACACTGGGCTGAAGATTTAGGCATTGCTCTAATCTTATTGCCAACTGTTGTTGTGACAGAAAAAAAACAGGGAAAGGACAATTGCTAGCCATAGGGTTTGCTTTGGTTGTTGCTTTTCTCTCTTAGTCCCCTACAAATGTTTTTCATTGTTGGGGGCAGGATTAAGTTGGAGAGCACAACTAACATCTAAATAACATTGTTTGTGTATCATTGTCATTTTGAATGTTTAGAGGCTTGAACAAAGATCTAGTAAACTTGTAACAAGACTCTAAAGTGAGTGGCTTTTCTGTAGAGCTATCTACACATATATTCCGAACCCTCACCTAGTATGGGTGCCACTGGAGCTAGTCAGAATTCATTTGTGTAGAAAATGTTGTTCATGGAAAAGACCTTCACTAGCAGTATAAGACTAATTCCAAGTGGCTGCTCTGAAGAAGCCCTGAAATCTTTCAAGTCAGCAAAAGCAGTTTTGACAAAGAATAGGTTAACTGGATGCCAGCTTTCTTTTCAGCCTGAATGATTAAGTGGCTCAGGACTTAATCCGGATAAAATTTTCCTTCTTCCTCTTCCTCATACTAAAGCAAAAAATGAAAGGATCTCTTGAAGCCATATGGTTTGGGGCACTATCAATTTTCTGTTCTCTTTTCTGCTTTGATTCAGAGCTTCTTCCTAAAAACATCTGTCGGTCCATTGTGCCCTTATTCCTGTTGCGGATCTGAAGCAACAGTTGATGCTGTTCTCAATGTTTGGCTCATGGTTCAGATAAGATCCCAGTGTGACAGCAGGCATAAGTAATAGCACTGATCTCTGCCAAGCCCGTACATCAGCTGCCATGTAACCAACCCTCTTGCTTATTCAGTGGTTCTGCTGACTACCTCACACAAGGTCAAGGAAAGAACTTCCTATCTTTTTCTAAATAGAAAATTAAATATCTAAAGTTGTCTCAAAATCCATACTATGATAATACCCAAGTATAGATTTTGGAATTTGCTCTCTATCAACGCAGCCACCTCTGCTTTTGTTAGAGTTCTCTCAGTGAGGGTGCTTAATAGTTATTTTTGCTGAAAAATGAGCTAGAGTTGAACTCCACGAAAATAGTAGAACTATGCCAATTATGGAATGGAAAGATTTTGACATACATCACATCCTTAAGCTCTTCTCCCCCGCCCCAGTTCTGTTTCCTGACACAATTCTGTTTCACAGAGAATCAGACAAGACTTCTCACATGAAAGACCAAGTACACAATGCTGTTCATATTCTGGCCTTGTATTCAACCAAGACTGTTCCTCCCATTATTGTGCCTTTTCTTCTGGAAATATTAAAATAATATTTCTACCAGTGCTAGCATTACTATTAGCTTGTGACTAACAGGTCCTCATCTCCTGATTTATTGATGGATAATCTATTTTTGTGGCTGGGCACTAATGATAGGAGGAGAGGCATTTAATGTCCCTCGTGGAAAATATGAAAAAAGGGTATTGGAGGCACAACAGCTGCTTCTTTCAGCATTCTGCAGGAGGAACCGCTCATGGATAGGTGACAGTAGTCATTATGGGTGTACAGAATGGCATCAGACAGTGGGTTCTGCTACACATTTTGCACCCACAGCTTATGTGATCCTGAAGTTGTAGATCCCATGCAAGCTTGCTTCACATCATGATGCCTTCTGGTAAGGAAACCAGATTTTCTTTATTATTTTTGTTAGAGTTCTCAGGGTTCTTCCATATGGGTCCTTTCTTCTTCTTTATGTACTGATTTTATTGAAATGTTTCCCTCCATCCATACAACGTTGTTCTTGTCTCAGTACAGTGACTTTTTCCATGACTTTCCATACCTCTTCCTCCCTCTTGAAAGTGCAGTTTATTTTTAATGTTTTTTGTTGCAAGAGTGGTTGTGGTAGTTGGGGTTTAGCACAGTGATGCTTTCCAGTCAGAACCTTCCAATTAATACTCAAGCAAGCCTGCTTTCTCAAAACAAACAAAAATGTTCCACAAGAGGTACTCTAGCACAGAAGTGGTGTTATTTTTTAAGTGTTTTTTTTTCCTAAAGAGGAGGAAGTTGCTATAAGTTGAAAAGGGGGTTTGGACATAAATCCCAGTAAACCCTTCATTCTTGTCACAACCAGGCAAAAGGAACCTTTGCTCTGTGTGGAAGAGTCAATACCAAAACTTTTCCCCCCACAACAGTGACACACACAGTTTGCAATGATTGTTAATTTGTAATGGTTGAGGTGTATAAATACTTGGTTAACTTAGAAATCATAACCCCTGCAGCAGGTGATGAAATCTAGTGTTATCAGATACCTCTTATTTAGTTTGTTGGCAATTGAAAGAAAATAAAATAAATAAATAATATAGCACTTCAAAGACTTACAGTTTATTTCAGTGTAGCTTTTGTGAATCAGATTCCATTTCCTCAGACACAGGCATACAAATATGTGGCCTTCATGTTTATACATATCTCCACAACTATGTGAAGATACTGATAATAAACAAACAACAATGGTTTGTTAACACAGGAATGGGACTATCAAGCTGTTAATAACTTCAATTAGGAAGTCTAGCCAGGGTAATAGCTATAGGACAGATGGATTGGCTGTCATCAGAATGCTAAGAAATGTTTCTGGGACAGAGGTCAGAGTCTGTCATGGGAAACATCTATTTTATACTCATAAGATATTACAGAAAGCTGAGTTGTTAATGTAAATATTGTGCTAAAAAGCCTTGATGTCTGTTGTGGCCCTTAGAGAGGCACTGACAATTGTTAATGTTGCCGATTTCTATTGTCTCTTCAGTCTCCCTTTTAATTCCTTTTTTCTACAGTAGACACTTTGAGATCCATAGCAGAATGTCTTGGGAGGTTAAAATGTTTTGAACTTGTTCCTTTGTATTACCACTCCTGATGTCAGAATTGTGTCCATTTGTTCTTTTGCACAGATATCATGTTTGTACACATAATAGGCTAAATCCAATTGTTAGTTCTAGCTACGGTAGAGATCCACTGGATAAATTAAATGTATATAAGTATTGATTTAATAAGCCCTGTGTATTTGATGAGCAACACTAGTTGGGTCTAATGACTGGATTTAGGCCTTCTTTTCTTTTCCTTTCTATTTTGAAGGCAGTATTTTTTACAATTTCTGATGACTCAGATTTGGTCCACAACACTGAAGAGAGGAAAATGAATCAATAACTTCATGAAGTTATTTTTCCCAACAATGTGATAGGATCCAATATGAAATAAGTTTTTTATATTTTTCCCTTTCCAAATTCAGGTTGATTTCATTAGATGATGAGAACCACACCAAGGAATCATTGAGCACAGGTATTCTTTTATAACAGGCCTCTCAAACACCAAATATGCATCCAAGTTACCTTTTGTCTTAATAGATGCTGTGTGAAAATTTTGCTCTTGCAAGGTACTTTAGAGTACATTATATTTTCAGTCAGAGTATTTCATCCCAGCTCTGTAAAGCATATGAAATCAAATGAGAACAGAGATGTGAGAGCAGAGGTTTTATACAACAACTACAAAGGCGCCTTGAAAAACAAATATTGTGGAGTAGGCACTTGTTCTACATCTTTCTTGCAGCTATTATTGCTTCAGGTGACTTCTTTTGCTCTCTCATTTGCTGCTTAGAGAAACACAGGTATTTCCAGTGGTTGTGACTGACCCTGGAATATCCCCTCTCCTTCAGAAGAAAATATATAGGGGCAGTTGTGAAAGCAGTCAGAACATTCTACTGCTTTAACATTTCTTCTACTGCAGACACCTGTCTTCCCAACTCCCCTGATTTTGCCCAGTACATGTACCGTACTTACGTAGAAATAATTGTGGAGCTGGGTTTAGCTGATGTTTTAACTTGCACCCAGTGGCTGAAATCCAGTAATAAGTCACAACTAGAGCAGGCCCATTGTATTATTGGGTTTTGATGAGCTAACTCCTCTGTAAGTTAGCTTTGATTTACTGTGCCTACTCTAGTTGTTACTCTATTTGACTACTGGATTTCAGCCAATGAGTGTCTAGCAGCCATGCTACTTAAAATCATCAAGGCATTTTACTTCATTTAGACTCTTGAATAAATGGATAATTGACTGGAATGCAGTCTATTTTGAATAGGTAATTTTTAGGCAGATACGTTCCGCATATTTACAATAATTTTATAGTGATTCCCATTTCCTAGTTTGAATGGATCTTAATCTCCAAACTGTACCACTGTGGAGATTTAAATTTGATTAAGTATTCTTGTGCCATTAAAGTGTTGTTTTAAGCTATAAGTAGCAAAAGTATGAACTGAGCTGTTAACTCTCTAGCTTACTGGCTATGTCATTCTTAATGGTGCAACATTGTAAGGTGCTGGGGATCAATCAGTGTGACTAGGAGGATCGCCAGATGACAAGACTCAAAATTTTGTTCATTAATCAACTCTTCCTTTAATAAATAATCTTGGGAAATAGATGAGCATATTTTGAACTAACCCAGTGTTCCCTCTGAAATAGTGGTTTTATTGAGTGTAGTAGATACCAATGAATATAGTGAAATGAATATTACTTTGGAAGGATATTAAACTGAGGAGAAAAAAGCTTTTAAAATGAATATAGTTTTTGTGAATGCCTTTGTAGTGGTCTACAAAGCAATGGTTATTCATCATATAACTATTACAACCTTTGCTGGAGATTTAAAGTACCAATGGAAAATCACTTGGTGATCATTTCAAGTTAAATGAAGTCGTCATAGTGCAAGTGATGAGTCTAAAAACCTTATGCTGTGTTTGAAGCTATGTATGTCTCTGATGGATTTGGTTTGATCTAAGAAATATTTTGGTTACAGCAGAAGATGCTAAGGACATTCTGAGTACTTTTGGGGAAGACTCAGAACAAGAATTCAACAGAGAGAATTCAGGTATGTTTCTTTAAAGATTCAGTGCAATTCCATATACAGTGGTGCCTCACTTAGCGACGTTAATCCGTTCCAAGAAAAACGTCGCTAAGTGATTTAATCGCTAAGCAATTTTGTTCCTATTATAGGAACATATTAAATCGCATTTAATACGTTCCTATGGGCTTAAAAACTCACCTTATGCGAAATTCCTCCATATCGGCGGCCATATTGGGTGCCTCTAGAGCGAGGCAAAACAGCGGCAGCCATTTTGTTTTTGCGGTGGCCATTTTGGAACCGCCGATCAGCTGTTAAAAAATGGGCGCTTTGCGGTGATCGCTTCCGCGCAATCATCGCAAAGCGATTTTTCCCCATAGGAAACATCGCAAAGCAATTGCTTTTGCAATCGCAAAAACAGCGTTGGTATGCAGTTTCGTCATTCAACGGAGTGATCGGTAAGCGAGGCACCACTGTATATATTTACTTCAAAGTAAGTTCCTTTGAGTTCAGTGGGACTTACTCTTAAGTGAGCATATGTAACAGCAGTTTCCGATGAGATTTTTGTCAGACTAGCAGTTAGAATCCCTTCTATTTCTTCCAGCTTTGCTCTTTGTTGGATGTTCTGGAATTAGAAAAAGTTGGAAGAAGCATTGGGAAAACAAGAAAATTACGGGTGGAAGATTACATCATTTGAACCTCCTGTAAAATTTAGTGAAAGAGGCACAGAAATGCCATGATAAAATTCTCATCTGAAACTGCCGTAAGATTGTGCTCTAAGGAACACTGCTTTGTTGTAATTATTATGGAATGCACAAATAAATGAATTGTGTTTTTTTCTTTTTTTTAGGAGCTATAGATGACTTATTAGGCTTGAAACCTGAGGAAAGTGGTATGTACCTTTTTCAATTTTTTGATCAATTTTATAAAACAGCAAGAAAAATAATATAATTTAACCTTAATAAGATAAAAGCCAGTGCCTGCAAGGTGTCCGTCGACTTTAGATGGTTATGGGTTGTAAAGGAAAATTCAGTTCAACCTACGTGGGATTTCAGTTGATATAAAAAAGGATTTTGTTCTGAAGCAATCGTGAGAGAAGTTGTTTCTTCGTCAGTTTCCCTGATGTCAAATATTTTTTGTGTATGTGTTCTATCCTGTCAAGTTGGAACTGACTTAAAGTGACCCTAATAGGATTTTCAAGGTAAGTGAGACATTTAAGAGGTGGTTTTACTAATTCCATATACAACCCAGTGAGTTTCCATGGCCACGTGGGGATTTGAACCTTGTTCTCCAGAGCCCTAGCCCATCACTGGGAATTGCGAAAGGAGTTATTAGTCAGCTTCCCTGATGCTAGCATTATTGTAGGTAACCAATATTCTTCCAATGGGATTTCAGCATTGTGTTGCCAACTCATACTTCAGTAATCCTGCACAATTGTGTATTTATAGGAAGTTGTTTGTTCTCTTCTATGCTAATCCTTTAAACTGTTGTTGTTGTTTAGTCGTTAAGTCGTGTCTGACTCTTTGTGACCCCATGGACCAGAGCCCACCGGGCCCTCCTGTCTTCCATTGCCTCGCGGAGTTGGGGCAAATTCATGTTGGTAGTTTTGGTGACACTGTCCAACCATCTCATCCTCTGTCGTCCCCTTCTCCTCTTGCCTTCACACTTTTCTAACATCAGGGGCTTTTCCAGAGAGTCTTCTCATGAGATGGCCAAAGTACTGGAGCCTCAGCTTTAGCATCTATCCTTCCAGTGAGCACTCAGGGTTGGTTTCTTCCAGAATGGATAGGTTTGTTCTCTTTGCAGTCCAGGGGACTTTCAAGAGTCTCCTCCAGCACCATAGTTCAAAAGCATAAATTCTTCGGCAGTCACCCTTCTTTATAGTCCAGCTCTCTCTTCCATATATCACTACTAGAAAAGCCATAGCTTTGACTATGTGGACCTTTGTCAGCAAGGTGATGTCTCTGTGTTATGCCTCCTTATTGAATAGGTTGTAATGGGGTTGGCCAAGATAGTGTTGCCTATCTTTGTACAGCTAAACATTGTCCCATGGATGACGCATTTGCCTGAACTTGACACCTGTGTCATGGTGTCTGTTTAGGCCAACTAGCAATCCCCACACAGAAATGGTACACACCTAAATTATCAGAGACAGAAAACCTAAAATCCCGTTTTGCTTTGCTTGAGTAGGCTTCGATGTACAGTTATTAATTGTTCTTGCGTGGATTTCCTTGTCAGGTACTGTGGCTACTTCATGGGTTTTTTGCAAGCTGACCTTTAGCGTTAGGCTTAACTTATATTTAACAACTAGAATAATCAGAGAATTAGTTGTGGAGTGTTACTTAGTAATTCCTTATGATTTGGAATTGCAGCAAGGTTTTTTTCTGTCTTGCTTTTTATATGTAACAGAACAGATTGTATCTTACCTTCCTACAGTCTAATTCTTTAAGACAGAACTTGATTGGTTTTCAGATATTCTACCCTAAAATAGTCCCACAGTAGAACAGACATTTTTAAGTGGTGAAGCTTGCCTCTGCTGCACAGTTCTTCCTAAAAGCAAGCTATCTGAGGAAGGAGAAGAGGAAGAAAATGTGACTGAGCAGATTCTCAGGCTAGAATCACACATTGTCTTCCCAGAGGGTGGCTTTTTAAAATATCCCATGTGGCAGTACTTGTACTGTTAAGAGTTGGTCTGTATTTCCAAGAGACTGGAGGTTAAAGAAAAGTTCTAAAGCATAGGTCGGGGAACAGGGGAAAATTACCCCAAATCGGGTAAAACTGAAACTCCTGGGCGTAATGAGCATAACCTTGCTAGCGTGTGAAATGAGTGCATTTGTACAGTAGTTGGAGCATTCTTCGGCACTGCCCTTCTTTGGGATTGGGACTGGGATGTAGACTGATCTTTTCCAATCCTCTGGCCACTGCTGAGTCTTCCATTGATGATGATAAAAGAGGCACACTGGTCCTTTGATATTGGGCTGTGGCCCCAGGGTGGGTGACATGGCCTTTAGCCTGGTTTGTTCCTTTTTGCACACCACACATAGAATGATTAAAGTGGTAGGGAAAGCCCCCTCCCCAATTCTTCATTGGCTGTCTCTAGCAAGAATGTCATTGCTAGCACCACTCTGGTAGCCACTGATGATGATTAAATCCTCTGCGAGCTAGCAAAAATTTAATGCAACTTGCTAGGCACGTTGGACACCTTACTACTCCCTATACCACACCATGGCTGGAGTGTAATGTGTTCCAGCAAAAATAGTGCACATCTTTATCAAATTTCGTGTATCCTACAGCCTGTGTAGATTCAATAATATTTTTAATTCATACAATGTATGATTTCCTTCCTTTTGAATCAAGGGGATAATGTCGGTGTATATAATTTTTTTTTGGGGGGGGGAAAGGTAAAAAAGTTCCCTGACCCGTGTTCTAAAGCATCTGCCAAACAAGAAGTAGACATGGATTCTAATGCCACATCTATTTCTTCCTGGGGAGTGAGAAAGTTAGAATATGAAATGACAGACCAGCAGTTGGCTTCAGTGACTCATCTTGTGGTTCTAATGGTGTTTTGCCATTAAAATCGTGTGCTGTCAAGTCAGTTCTGACTTATGACAATCCTTTTTAGGGGTTTCTAACTAGAGAGCATTTGGAAGTGGTTTGCCAATTATTCCCTTTTTGTGGGGGCATTCTAGGACTGTGCAGCTTGCCCAAGGCAACACAAGCTGCCTCTACTCTTAGGAGGCACAGTAGGGAATTGAACTACTAATCTCTAGCTCAGCAAGTCAGATGTCTAATTCACTGAGCTATCCAACCAGTTTGTTTTGCCATTAAAGATTCCTTTTAGGATAAAAAATAAAACAGACACTTGCATCACTTTTAGAAGTGGAGCTTCAATAGATGACTGTTTATCCTAGAATGAGGTTTTCATACTTCTGTATTGTGCACTGTTTTATGATTGGTTATTATCAGCAGAAAAACACAGGGTTAATTTGCAGGTCTGTTGCTTATGTGTGTAGCTTTGAGGAAATCCCATCACTGGAGGGAAAACATTATGTTAACTCAGTGTCTCATCCATTTTGACCCTTGCCTCTAATAAGTGTTCATTATGATTTAAGTCAGCCCATTACTGACAAGTTGCTGCTGCTTCTGTTACTATATCACCCATGATAACTGCGCCAGCAACCCAGTGTAAAGTTATCCCATGCAGTGAAACTCCCAAGTTTGAATGCTCAGTAGGAGTAATATAACCATGAAGTAAGCTTTTCTTATGCTAGGTCATCCATCATGAGCCTTCTATTTGTTCTTCATATTGAATTACATATGTCTGTTACTATAGGAAAGATCAGGACTACTGCAGGGAGTGGGATTTAATAATGTTTGAGATCATTAGCCAAAATCATTTTGTTTTGATGTATCTGATATTTGTCTGAAAAAGTAGGAGAGCATCCTACTGAAGGAAGGTGCCTGCATTTTAACAGTGCATCTAGAAGGGCTTATCTGAAGTATTAGAAACTGTGAATGTCCAGAGAGAGTTCCAAAATCTGTCCCATAAGGTAAGTTATCTAGCTCAAAAGCTCTCTTAAATGAAGGTAATTATAGTGGCATCATTCATAGCCCATAGAGGAAGCTATTTCATGCTGAGTTAGCCTGTTAGCTCACTCAAGCCAAAATCATCCACCTTGGTTGGCAGCAGCTTTCTAGGATGTCCCACAGGAATCTTTCTAATATCATGGAAAGTATGAGCTCTCTTATTGTGCTGTGACTCTGCCTTAATGGTACTGTAGACCTATATGGGGATTCCTTAAAGTATCTCTGCCTTAATGGTAGACCTATATGGGGATTCCTTAAAGTATATTTCTCTGCTCGTTATTGTTTCTTTTAACTTTGGTGCCCCTACGTCTCCCAACAGGATCAAAATATCTTCTTACAAACTCCTTGGAGCCTGAGGCTGCAGATAAGGCTGATATGGTATTACTGAACGAGATTCTCAACGCATCTTCTTTGGATGATGGTGAATTCAGCTGGGAATGGACACCTGCTTTTGGAGAGGATTCACTGGCTGACACACCTGCAAACTCCTCCATGGGAGAAATGGAAGGCAACCATCCATCATCATCGTCATCATCAGGCTTCCTTCCTTCTCAGCTTTTAGATCAAAACATGAATAATTTGCAGTCCTCCTTTCAAGGTATGCCAATATTGTTTTTGATGTTGATAAAACATTTTAAGAGTAGGCTGCTGTTAAGTAAATGCTAGTAGCTGGCTCAATGAACAGCAGAGTATTGTGAAAGCAGATTATGCATCTGTACATGGAAACAAATAAGCACACTCATTATGAAGATTTGGACATAGTACTAAATCAGTGGTTCCCAATCTTGGGTCCCCAGGTGTTCTTCAACTAAAATCCCCATGAACCTTTGCCACTAGCTGTGCTGGCCAGGATTTCTGGACATTGTAGTCCAAGAACATCTGGGACTCAAGGTTGGCTGTCATTGAACCATGTGCCACAGTTACAGAATGCTTACAACACGTTGATTTCATTTAAAATCGTACGTACATGCATACATTTTTTCTGAGGTTTGCACGTATACTGTCAAATAAGTGACTTCCTTCCTCAGGTTGTTCACACAGTTTGCCTATTTGTTTGTGTATGTGTTTGTGTGTATGTATTGACCTTCCCTTCAATTGTCTTATTTTTTTTAGTCTCTGTAGTTAGCTACTCTTGTGTTGTAAACTCTATGCATTTGCATAACAGGACAAACATGAAATTGTTTTATTAAATTGCAACTCTAGATGCTTCAGTGTTTCAGCAGATCAAGCTCCTTGCTGCCAATATTCTATGTTAATCTCTCCCCTGCTTCTTCAGCAGATGGTAGTTGTGGGAGGGAGGCATAAAGGGTGAAGGGGAAAATTGTCTCATTATTTTTAGAGTTGAAGGATGACGTGTGTGAAGGGTTCTTAACTCCTCCGGGGTGTGAATGTGGGTTGGTTTGCTTGTCATTTGTTGATGGGAAAATTATTCCTCTGACATTCCTCAGGTAGAGGAAAATAGTAGAGCCTGGCGTTGCAACAAAAAGTATGTTATTAAAGGGACGTTGTCAAGACTGGCAGGCCTAAGATAAGAGCAAGTCATCAGTGCTGTGGCTTAATAGGCCTGTGGATAAGGCCATAACCAGCTTCTCTCTCTAGTGTAAATGCTTAATGGAGCTAAAGTACCTAGAAATTTTAAGGAGGTGTGTAGATTGCTGGAGGACAGCTAGCATCCTCAAAGGACTAAGGACAAAGTTTGACACATTGCAGGAGATTATAAGAGCATGTTCTGTGGTGGTGGTAGTTATTTTCAATTCCAAAGTAACTGTGGGGTGAGGTGGGAACATCTTTTTTTTCCCTGGCACACCACCAAATTTGAAGAACAGATTTTGGCCTATAGGTCTATCAAGCTACATACATTTGGCACTGTGCAACGTCTCAGACAGATATCCTTATAGTCACTCCTACCAGAGTTTCAGAATGCAGTCACTGGATAGTGTTCTCACACTCGCCTGTAGCAGCATTTTTTTGAAATAGCAGAGAGAGTGATACATGGGGAACGTCATCTTTTTCTCCCTAGTGAGATGAGGAACAAATCTGAAAAGAAGGGGTTGGCAAGAAAGAGTAATTCTCTTCTTCCCCAAATCTTCTGTTTCTGATTGAAACTTCCAGTGATTACTTTCTGAAAGAAAAGGGAAAGACAACATTGGAGCATTATTGTTTGGAGTGCAACCTGGTCTATCTAGATGCCGATACAGAACGAGAGTGTTTTTAGCCTAATACTTTCCTGCAGAAGTTCTCAAGTCCCAGAAAAATTCAAGACTTAATCAGCTGGAGAGCCCTAACTGGCCATTTTGCCATGCAGTGCAAGTGGCATCATCTCCCATCAGGTTACCCCTGAGGCATGGGTTTCAAGCCCTTATGAAAAAAAATGCTGAAGGCGGTATCCTCTTGAGAGAAAAATTTAACATTTTTACTCCTAAAAATATAAAAGAAAAGTGAATAGGGTCGGGAGCTGTTGACTTTAGGGACGTGTTATTCATGGGTTTGGTTTGGTTTGGTTTTTGGACTTCAGGCCGACTCATTCTCTAAGAATTCCCCAGATAAAAGTCTGAGAGGTCCAGTACACAGGCTGATACCTACAGTCCTCAGACCCACAATTACAGACTCGTTTCGCTTACCTGGAGAAGAACCTCAAAAGCTGGATGGCCTTCTGAGGCCTTAATGTCTTGTTAATGTATAATATGTATTATTATTATTTTATTCAATTGATATACTGCCCACTTGGCTGAAGGCAACTCTGGGCAGTTCACAACACAAAATAACTGGGTAACAAAGTACAAAATCAAATCACAAAATGCAAAACAACTAAATAAAGGGTAATATAACAGAATCAAAATCAAGCAAGTTTAAAAATTCATGGTTGTTGTGGGTTTTTTGGGCTCTTTGGCCATGTTCTGAAGGTTTTTCTTCCTAACGTTTCACCAGTCTCTGTGGCCGGCATCTTCAGAGGACAGCACTCGATGCTCTGGTGTAGTTGGCTTTGGGAGTGCAGTATTTATGGCTGTGAGATAGGCTTTTGTCTTTTTCTGTAGATGGGTGATTAGTGTTTACTGTTGTGGGTGTATTGTTGTGCTAAGGAGAAGTGATTATCTGTTCCTGTGGTTGATGGATGTCATTAGCTGCTCTTTTGTGTGTAGTAATCTCCTGTCCTTGTGGCTGGTTAGAGTTTGTTGACCTTTTGCACACTGTATTTTTGAGAGCTGGGAGCCATGTTTTGTTGAGCTTCACACTTTCCTCTTTTTTGTTGAAGTTTTGCTGGTGCTTGTGGATTTCAATGGCTTCCCTGTGCAGTCTGACGTAATGATTGCTGGTGTTGTCCAGTATTTCAGTATTTTGAATTAGAATTTCATGTCCAGTTTGTTTCAGGGCATGATCAGCTATTGCAGATTTTTCTACCCCTTTGAAAATTCTACCTTTTAAAAATTCAGTTTGATAAATAAAGCTGCTGTAGATGCTTCCTGGAGGTGGTAGTTCTTTGGGAGATTTTTGTTGTTTAGTCGTTAAGTCGTGGCCGACTCTTTGTGACCCCATGAACCAGAGCACGCCAGGCCCTCCTGTCTTCCACTGCCGCCTGGAGTTGGGTCAAATTCATGTTGGTAGCTTTGATGACACTGTCCAGCATTCTTGTCCTCTGTTGTCCTCTTCTCCTCTTGCTTTTACTCTTTCCCAACATCAGGGTCTTTTCCAGGGAGTCTTCTCTTCTCATGAGATGGCCAAAGTATTGGAGCCTCAGCTTCAGGATCTGTCCATCCAGTGAACACTCGGGGCTGGTTTCCTTCAGAATGGATAGATTTGATCTCCTTGCAGTTCTGGGGACTCTCAAGAGTCACCTCCAGCACCACAATTCAAAAGCATCAATTCTTCAGCAGTCAGCCTTCTTTATGGTCCAGCTCTCACTTCCATACATCACTACTGGAAAAACCATAGATTTAACTATGCGGAACTTTGTCAGCAAGGTGATGTCTTTGCTTTTTAAGATGCTGTCTAGGTTTGTCATTGCTTTCCTCCCAAGAAGCAGGCGTCTTTTAATTTCGTAGCTGCTGTCACCATCTGCAGTGATCATGGAACCCAAGAAAGTAATATCTGTCACTGCCTCCATATCTTACCCTTCTATTTGCCAGGAGATGATGGAGCAGTGGCCATGATCTTAGTTTTTTTTATGTTGAGCTTCAGACCATTTTTTGCGCTCTCCTCTTTCACCCGCATGAAGAGGATCTTTAATTCCTCCTCACTTTCTGCCATCAGAGTGGTATCATCTGCATATCTGAGGTTGTTGATATTTCTTCCGGCAATCTTAATTCCGGTTGGGATTCATCCAGTCCAGCCTTTCGCAGAGGCAGATACCCCCTCTGTTTGGAGTCTAATGGGCAACACGATTACATTTCTCAGAGAAATCGACACCTCCAAGGAAGTATTGGGGCAGATTTCTTGCCTTTGAATGGGGAAACAGGTTGAAGAATGCACCAAGTGAGGTAAATATAGCTCATCTATAGATTTGTGTTTCTGGGCTGCACCTCACATAATCCTGCTTGGGGCATTCTTGGAAATTTCTGGGAGTTAATGTCACCGAAAACACCAGAAAGTCCCATCTGTAGTTACTATTTTCCTAATGCTCACCAGTAGGACTACTACTAGACTTTGGTGCTTTCTATATTATGGTGCCTTGGGGCAAATCTCTAGTTGCTCTGATAAAAGTGAGTCATACTTTACAAATTTCTTTTTTTTCCTCTCAAACTTTATGGAAGCCATAAAATTTCAACCTGGCAATTCTCATATGTTTCCAAAGTTGTCTTAAAAAGATAATACTTCGAGGGCGGACCATGACAATAGATCCCTGCTCCCTGCGAGGGGGGAGGGCCATCTTGAGGAAGCATTTTATTAGGTGGTGATCCGACCATGACAAGGGGATCGACTCAAGGTCATAATAGCAATGACTTTTTAAGTAGCTAATACTGATGTCTCCTATTTAATAGTCACTTAAAGAAAATTATTAGAACTGTCCAGCTGATTATATTTAACTGGTTTTCCTTGGCAGCTTCCTTGTAACAATTCAACTCTGGTTTTAGACTAATCTAATCTAGGAAATCACACAAGTGGCCAAAATCATGTAATGTACTATATTTGACAACAATGGAAGAAAAATGACACAACTCAGTGTTAATTAACAAGTTCCTGTGTACACCAATCTACCCAACTGCTGCACAGTGAGGAATCTAAGTCACAATATACTTCTGGAAACTTCACAGTTTCCCTAGTGTTGGCATAACTATACAACATTATTTTGGCCAGTATATCTTTGTATTTTCTTGGCTTTGTAACACCAAGGCAGTGCATTAATAATGATATTACTACGAACTGTGTGCGCAGTCACAGCAACAATAATCACAACAGTCTGCCTACCTAGAATGATTTAGTAACAGTGAATTCCTGTTAAAGTGTAATGCTCTAAGTTGTGGCAAGAAGATTGCACAACTTTTCTTAATTACTTCCCTTAACAGTAACTATTGCATTTGTCCTGCTATCCAACTTAAACTGGAGGCTGCTTCAGTATAATTTCTTCTCAGGTATTTCCTCCTCATAAAGCTGCTATCTTCA